TAATGACACCACCTCTTTCATAAAAAGACCCACACACTTCACCTCCACCTGGTTTATAAGAAAATGCCCTTAATATCCTTTTCTTTGGTCTTCTGGTCACATGACATCTGACTTAAATTCAGCTTAATTGTATTGCATAGTCAGAGTTTTAACTTGTTTATAAGAGAGGAGAGCACATTAATGGTGTTGTTAGTATTTTTCTGTTGCTCACTAAAAGGTTGGGGGTTCTTTATATGCTCTAATGGGTTTCATTGCTAAACTGCTGTGCAGCTGTCAGAAAAATCTTTGACTTGGCTGCACTGTCTGGCAGGGGAGCATGAACCATATGGCTGACTGATATATATGAAGGACGGTCATGTCAAACCGGGACTTTTAATTTTACAAGTATAAAAAGGGATGATTGCGTGGCGGTACTACACGTAGTAACAGATAAGGATGTACCTAAGTTCTGGCAGCCAAAACGCAACTGCCGAAAATAGCCCTAGCAGCATTTTGCTGATAGGAAAAAGTGGGGCGATACAGGTGTTTTTAATTGCGGTCCTCATGCATTTGGCTGCTGCCAGCTATCCATTGGGCGACGCATGAAGGGAGTAGGTGTGACATCCTGGTTCTGCCCTGCCCCATTCTTGAGAGCCATGGGTCATGCTGCCCCTCCTCATTCAGGGAGGAGGTATGGCTGAGCAGTGAGGAATCCTTGGCTGTGTGGTTGCACATGCCCAGTGTTAATGGCTGCGCTGATGGGCTTCGCAGTTAAGCATGCCCAGTGGTAGTGGCGTGCCGCCGGGTGACAGCTTTTAGCACTTTTAAGGGGCTAGCTCTGGGAGAGCAGGCTGCGTCTTTCCTCAATGGGACCTACATACATTATATGATATACAGTTAGCTCCATATATATTTGGACACAGGCACAATTTTAGTTTTTTTCAGGTATTTACCAAAACATATTCAAGCTATAGTTATATAATGGATATGGGCTGAAAGTGCACACTCTCAGGTTTAATATGAGGGTATGTACATCCAAATTGGAGGAAGAGTTTAGGAATTACAGCTCTTAAGATTATGGATCCCCCCTTTTCCAAGGGACTAAAAGTAATTGGACAATTTAATCAAAAGATGTTTCATGGCCAGGTGTGGGTTACTCCTTTGTTATTTCTTCATCAATTAAGCATGTAATAGATCTGGAGTTGATTCTAATGCAGGCCATAGACGGGGAGAAAAACGGCCGATTTTTCTTTTAAAAAACGAAAAATCGGTCGTTCAAGCGGCCGACGTTACCACCAATGGTAAAAAAAATCGGACGATTTTCATCCCGTCTACAGCCGGCAAAAAGTGTCCCTGCAGAGAGCTCTGCTATTTCTTTGACAGTTCCTTGACATTTACAGAGGTTGCAACAATGTATCTATTTGTATCCATTTAGGATACAGATGTTTTTATTCGGAAACAAATAGATACAATGTTGCAACCGCTGTAAATGTCAAGGAACTGTCAAAGAACTGTCAAAGAAATAGCAGAGCTCTCTGCAGGGACACTTTTTGCCGGACTGGAATTCCTCTTATTTTTCATCCTTCTTCTTCATCTCCTTCTTCATCATCATCCTCTTCTTCTTCTTCTTCATCATCCTCTTCATCATCATCCTCTTCTTCTTTTTCTTTATCATCATCATCCTCTTCTTCTTCATCACCCTCCTCATCTTCTTCTTCATCCTCCTCCTCCTCCCTCCTCCTCCTCCCTTCCTCCTCCTCCTCCTCTTCTTCTTCATCATCATCATCTTCCTCTTCATCATCATCCTCTTCTTCTTCTACTTCATCATCATCATCCTCTTCTTCATCATCATTCTCTTCTACTTCTTCGTCATCATCATCCTCTACTTCTTCGTCATCATCCTCTTCTTCTTCGTCGTCATCATCCTCTTCTACTTCATCATCATCCTCTTCTTCATCTTCTTCTACTTCGTCATCATCATCATCCTCTTTCTTCTTCTACATCATCATCCTCTACTTCATCATCATCCTCTTCTTCTTGTTCTTCATCATCATCCTCTTGTTCTTCATCATCATCCTCTTCTTCTTCCTCTTCTTCATCATCATCCTCTTCTTTCTTCCTCTTCTTCAACATCATCCTCTTCTTCTTCTGCTTCTTCTTCCTCTTCTTCATCATCATCCTCTTCTTCTTCGTCGTCATCCTCTTCTTCTTCTTCTTTTTCTTCATCATCATCATCCTCTTCTTCTTCTTCATCATCATCATCCTCTTCTTCATCTTCATCATCATCCTCTTCTTCTTCATCATCTTCATCCTCTTCTTCTTCTTCCTCTTCTTCTTTTTCTTCTTTTTGTCTTCCTCTTGCAGGTCACTGCTCATGCGCAGATTTTTTATCGGTAAAAAATCGGCCGATTTGCCCATCATTGCCGCGAAAATCGGCAGATCGGCAAAATCGGCCAATTTTTTCCCCAACTTTACCGAAAAAAAAAAAAAAAAAAAAACTGCCAAAATACCGAAAAAAAACGGCTGAACAAATAGCCCACTAATGATCCGAAAATCGGCTGATTTTATTTTCGGGCGAAAAATCGGCCGATTTTCGGCCCATCTATGGCCTGCATAAGTGTGGTATTTTCATTTGGAATCTATTGCTGTGAACCTACATCATGAGTTCAAAGGAGCTGTCCATGCAAGTGAATCAAGCCATTGTAAGGCTTCAAAAACTAAACAAATCCATTAGAGAGCTAGAAGCAACATTAGGAGTGGTCAAATCAACAGTTTGACACATTCTGAGGAAAAAAGAACACACTGGTGAGTTCAGCAACATAAAAAGGCATGGACGTCCACGGAAGACAACAGTGGTGGATGATCGCAGAATCCTCCTCTATGGTAAAGAAAAATACATTTACAACATCCACACCAGGAGGTGGGTGTATAATTGTCATGTCTACAGTCAAGAGAATACTTCATGAGAGCAAATACTGAGGGTTCACCACAAGGTGCAAACCATTCATAAGCCTGAAGAAAAGAAAAGCCAGATAAGACTTTACCAAAGAACATCTAAAAAAAGCCAGACCAGTTCTGGAAAAGCATTCTTTGGACAGATGCAACTAAGATTAATCTGTAGCAGAATGACGGGATGAAAAAAGTGTGGAGAAGGCTTGGAACAGCTCATGATCCAAAGCATACAACGTCATCTGTAAAACATGGTGGAGGCAGTGTGATGGCATGGGCATGCATGGCTTCCAGTGGCACTGGGTCATTGGTGTTTATTGATGATGTGACAGAGGACAGAAGCAGCCGAATGAATTCTGCAAGTGGAATATTCTGCAATGGCCAAGTCAATCATCTGATCTTAACCCAATTGAGCATGCATTTCATTTGCTGACGGCAAAACTAAAGGTATAAAGACCCACAAACAAAGAACAACTGAAGACAGCTGTAGTTAGAGCCTGGCAAAGCATCAGAAAGGAGTAAACCCAGTCATTGGTATGGTCCATGGGTTCCAGACTTCAGGCAGTCATTGCCAGTAAAGGATTCTCAACAAAATATTAAAAATGAACATTTTATTTATGATTATATTCATGTGTCCGGCGGTGGCTACTATTAAGAGCTGTAATTCCTAAACCCTTTCTCTAATTTGGGTGTACATACCTGCAAATTAAACCTGAGAGTGTGCACTTTCAGCTCATAGGATTATAACTTTTTTTTTTTTAATGGTTGAACTGGATGGACTTTTGTCTTTTTTCAGCCAGATTAACTATGTAACTATAGGTAACTATATCTATTATATAACTTGAATATGTTTTGGTAAATACCTGAAAGAAACTAAAATTGTGCCTGTATCCAAATATATATGGACCTAACTGTAGGTGAGAAAGAATATCAGCTTACCTTTGGGAAGTTTAGAGTTAAGTGACAAAGAATAAAATACATACATACTGTACATACATACATACATAAAACACTGATTATAAATGCTATTTAGAAAAAGAGAATTGTTAATTACTGACCACAGGGTAGTGCATTTTTTTCTAATTTAGCCACTTGACCTCTGGAAGATTTACCCCCTTCGTGACCTGGCCATATTTTGCTGTACGGTGCTGCGTTATTTTACTTGATAGTTGTGCAATCATGCAACACTGTACACAAATGAAATTTGGCATAGATATAGCTTTCTTTGGTGGTATGTGATCACCACTGGGGTTTTTATTTTTTGCTCTATGAAAGAAAAAAAAAATAATATTTTTTACTTTTTCTGCTATAAAACATATCCAATAAAAAAAAATGTAAAAATTCTAATTTCTTCATAAAGTTAGGCCAATATGTATTCTGATATATATATATTTAAAAACTGTCTGTTTCAGTTTCAGTTTTTGACCAAGTGCATCCTGAATTTTCGGTCTCTGTACCAGAATTTTCATTTCGGTGCAATGGGAAGTGTCGTTTTACTGATAGGTGGCACACATGTTAAGGGCCAATCCAGAGACTGTTTATGAAGATGGCATACATCAGTGTTAATGCGTGCATGGAACTGGGTGATGAAGTTTCATGTAAATGAAGGTGTAAAACCCACAAATATCTTTAGCAGAGTTCCAGCAGTGATGAAAGGCTCAGCCGCAGTAAGATATTTCAATGGGATAAATGTGTCAAAGATGGGATTTCCGTCAGTGACCATCACGGCCATAGTTGTTTCCAGCCAAGACACAGCAGTCATTCCTGTGAACTTTCAATATAATCGAAGCATAACCTCAGGTGAAATTGCATAAGAGACAAATCTTTGGAGGTCAGCATTTCAGCACTGATGACAAAGTGAAACGGACTGTCCTAGGATGATTCAGACGTACTGACAACTGTTTTTTTTTTTTTTTTTTTTTTTTAATGCCGAAGCTTTCCAGGCATTCGTTAAATGCTGAGATAAGTGTATAAATGTGTGTGTGTGTGTGTGTGTGTATATTGTGACAGTGTGGCGATCTGTCACCCTGGATTCTCAACAAGGCAGGTTGAGGGGCTCCAGGGTAAGTGTTTGATACGGAGGAAAGTGGCTTTTCACTTTCCTCCTTGTTTGTAAGGTCTGTTTTGGGATCTGGAGCCTGGAGATTTCAAAGAGATCTGGGAGGGATGAAATCTCCAATCCTGGGACCAGGTTTTGGGAATGACCATTACACTGATTGCACAGGTGTGCACGGCTCTTTTGTAGGGTCAGGACCAGAGTTCTGGGCTCCAGGGCTCCACCCCGGCAGCTAGGAGTCAGCAGGGCTCCACCCTGGCAGACGGGAGGTCTCTGCCTTGGAGTCAGGTGGAAGCCAGACTAGCTGTGTGCTAGTGGCTATAATTTGGGAAGAGTCTGCAGGAGACTGACATTGAACTGTGTGTAAGCCAGGAGGCTGAATCTTTGTTTTGTTGGTGGATACCCCTGCGTGGGAAGCATTATGTTTGAACTTTCATTTAAATAAAAGTGGGCTAAAAAGGCCCTGAAAAAGAAAGCGAGTAGCTGTTTGCGTTTCAAAGCTCTACCACGTTGAAGCGAGTTCCCACATATGGTGGAGGATGCGGGCAGAATTGGAGATCCCTGCGATTGAAGTAAGTTCATCTGTTATATGAACTGTGTTTGGTGCATAAGTCTGCACTATCTGTGTGTGCAGGTGAGGAGAACCTGCTAGTGAAAAGGACTTTGCCTTAAAGAGACAGTGTTCCATGGTGTTGCTGAACTGTGTAACACACTACTGTGTGCATGACTGCAAAGATGGGGCGGTCAAAACCGAAAAAGGAGGCGATGTTTGCTGAAATGAGAGAGAGAGCCCTGTGGCTAGGGGGTTATATACCACATGCCCCAGCCAAGCCGGGAAATTTAGATGTGGGTGAGTCTGCTGTGGACTGGTGCAAGCGGCACCTGGCAGCATTGAACCAACCTACAGAGGAAAGCAAGCCAACCTTCAGTGCAAGGAGAGAGCTTCAGGATGTCCGTACCTGGGAGAGGGGTGTTGTCACCCATGGCAACGCTGCTGCAGTTAAACCAGTAGCTGTTGTGAAAAATGTGAATGTGTCACGGCTTGAGAGTTGGTCCAGCAGAGAGAAGCCTATGCTATGTGCAAGGAGAGGGGCTGACCAGAGGCCAGGACCAAGAGTGAAGGTCCATAGCAACACAGAGGAGGCCAGTCGGGCTGTCTGTGTACGGGGGGCTATGTCATACAAGGATCATGGCAAGTGGCATCAAGAGGAGCCAATACAGCGTGTTGGAAAGAGCCAGCAAAGTTCTGCTTGGAGAGTGCAATCTCCCATGGCGACCGGAGAAAAAATATTGCCTGGAAGGAGGAGCTGCATTGGAGATGTGGCTCAGTATCCCAATAAAGAAAAGTGTGGAAATGTACCATGCCTGGAATGTGGTCAGTGGGGGCATGGGATCTTTTACTGTCCCAGACTCTGGAATACTGCTGATACTGGGCAAATGTCTACAACATCAAGCCCAGATTCTTGTTTGAAAATGTTGGCGACCGCCTCTGGCAACAGGGAGGAAGTTCCCGTTGGGCCTGCAGGGGGTGCCAGAGAGTCCATGGAGCCTGTGGGGGCATCTGTTACTTCACCTTGGGGCAAGGGAAACGTTGCCAAGGAAACTGCAGTTGAGGATGCGTTTATGAGACAAGGCACTCAAATGAAGATGGTGACACCTCCTACTGTGGTGGGTAAGACTGTGTGTGATAAAACCATGGCTGGGACTGTCATGTTGAGAAGGACTGGTTATGAGACTGTCCATTCTGATGTAGGAGTGACCCCAGTTAGTTGGGCCACTGAATGTGCTTTTGAGAGTGACTTTTCCCTGTGCAGTGCCTTGTACAGTGGGGAGTTAGGGGTTGAAGTAAAACCTGTGCATGGTTCTCAAAAAGAAAGTGATGTCAATAATGTGTGCCAGTCACAGGTTGGTAGTAGGCTAGTACAGCCCACAAGAGCTACAAATGCTGATGATGTTGTTGTGAAATGTACTGCTGTTGGGAAAACCCTGAGCTCTTGCAGTGCAAAAGCTGTAATTAAAGATGGGTCATTTCCCATAGCAACTGGTGGTAAGACAGCACAGGTGTCCTTAGACATCTCCAGGGGTCTCCGTGTATTGGAGCCGGAGGTTGCCCTGGACAACTGCGATGTCACTCTGGTGGAGCAGAGTGGAACTGCACCTTGTCATAGGAGTGTGTTGGTGCAGTCTAATACTGAAAGTGTTCAGGTGAACAGCGGGTTAATGCAGCCTGGGAAAAATGCAAATGTGTGTGTAATTCAGGAAGCCCCACCAGAGCAAAGTGGTGGATGTGAGGTATTGCAACCTGCAGTGGGAAAACAGGTGTTACCCAAGTCTGATGTGAGCCAGAGTGATTTGTGCAATGGATCTGCAACTAAGCCCATCTATTCTTATGTGTCTCCTTGGGCGGATGGATCAGTGCTGAGGAGCACTGGTGAATTGAGCACATATACAATGGATTGGGATAGTTGGGGTAAAAGGCTAATCTCGTTGATAGATGAGGCTTTTTTATGCAAAAAAATAAGGTGGACACTGTTCTGCTGTGCCAGCAGGAGGATCTATAGAACAGCCTATAGATAAGGGCGTGTATACAGCAGAGACTTTGTCTGTGACCCACAAAAGTGATGTTGGCATGGAGTGTCAAAATGATGCTGTCACTGGGAATGATCAGGGGCAGCTTATGGATGCTGAGTCTGAGACTTTGAGAGTGAGCCCAGCACATGGCAGCGCTCTGGTGGAGCACCAGGCTGTGGTTATCTCCAGCTCGGAGGAGGTCCCTTTAAAAGTTTCAACTTCTCAAGTCTCAGCAGGTGAGTCTCTCAGCATTCCCAGTGCCCTAAATATGGTCAGGAAGGTCTTGGGTATAGAGTCAAGTGGTTGGGTTGTAACCAAAGTATTAAAGGAGATGCTTGAACTTTGGAATGTACAACCAATGTATATTGAGGTGTCTCCTCCACAGTCAGATGGTCTGGTACTGCGGAGTACCACTAGGTGGAGCACCGAATGGCTGGCTGTGCATATCAAACGGGAACAAGAAAGTGGTTTATTTCTGAATTTGTTGATGGTGTTAAAAGTTGTATCAGTGTACGCCACTGAACTACCTGTAAATGTAATAGATGAGAAATGTTTTGGAGAAATGGAAAATGAGTCAAAAAAGGTTTCACCTCCTAACAGCCAGGTGGGAAGCATTTTCTGCTGCTATGGTCCAGGATGGTGCTGGTCCGTTGTCAGTGAAGGGCGTGTTGACTGCACCAGTGGACAAACCATATGAGATGGAAGGGCCGAGCATGGACCAGAGAACAGCAGAGATCCTGACCAGGGCTCAAACGGATGTGCATAAAGAAATCAGGGTCATTGGGCCAAAAAGAGGTTTATGTAGCAGGTCTGATAATACACCTGAAATACAGAGAGCGAAATGGTATGTGAAAACTGGCAAAATGGATCAGAAGAGAGCTCATCTGTACAGGGTTTGGATACAGATCCAAGTGGTGTAAGAAAAATTAAAATGGTTGGACAGCCGCCTGCAGAGTGCATGACACCAGGTGAAGTGGCATTTTGTGAGGTTCACGTGGGTGATGGCTGCCCTATGGTGTGTGTGCCCTCTGCAGACCCTGTCCTAACTAATGCTGGAAAAGATATTGAGAGGTGTAATATTGACTGGAATATATCTGTTCATGGTAAACTGAATGTTGGTGACGAGTCATGCAGGTTTGATATCCAAAGGTACAAGAAATCAGGGGGGTGGTCCTGGTATAAATACAGTAGAAATAGTTCCCCTACAGCCTTGGGACAGTAATACTGAGAGAGGTATTAGGAAACCTTGGAAACTGAAGCGAAGGGGCAGAAAGGTCGGTAAAAAGGCCAGGGGGACCCCGTTAAGATCTCAGGAGAGAAAGTGTTTATGGAAATGCACCCGGAAAAAGAATAGGGAAAGTCTGAGTAGAGCCCATAGCAGAGTGACAATGGGGCTTGGGGAGAGACACCAAAGGAATCATTGGGTAGAGTTCCCCTTTAGGAAAGGTATGGTTAGACCAGATTGGACCCCTGTAAATGAGAGCTGGCAAAGAGGTGCCAGAAGGTATAAGTTGTGTGTTCTGCCCCCTACGGGATCAAAACAAAGGGGGGGGATATGTGACAGTGTGGCGATCTGTCACCCTGGATTCTCAACAAGGCAGGTTGAGGGGCTCCAGGGTAAGTGTTTGATACGGAGGAAAGTGGCTTTTCACTTTCCTCCTTTGAAATCTCCAGGCTCCAGATCCCAAAACAGACCTTACAAACAAAGAGATCTGGGAGGGATGAAATCTCCAATCCTGGGGCCAGGTTTTGGGAATGGCCATTACACTGATTGCACAGGTGTGCACGGCTCTTTTGTAGGGTCAGGACCAGAGTTCTGGGCTCCACCCCGGCAGCTAGGAGTCAGCAGGGCTCCACCCCGGCAGCTAGGAGTCAGCAGGGCTCCACCCCGGCAGACGGGAGGTCTCTGCCTTGGAGTCAGGTGGAAGCCAGACTAGCTGTGTGCTAGTGGCTATAATTTGGGAAGAGTCTGCAGGAGACTGACATTGAACTGTGTGTAAGCCAGGAGGCTGAATCTTTGTTTTGTTGGTGGATACCCCTGCGTGGGAAGCATTATGTTTGAACTTTCATTTAAATAAAAGTGGGCTAAAAAGGCCCTGAAAAAGAAAGCGAGTAGCTGTTTGCGTTTCAAAGCTCTACCACGTTGAAGCGAGTTCCCACAATATAAACAGTTGGAAGAAAAAGTATGTGAACCCCTTGGGATTACGTGGAGTTTTGCATGAATTGGGCATAAAATGTGCTCTGAACGTCATCTAAGTCACAACAATAGAAGAACACAGTCTGCTGAACATAATACTACACAAACATTAGATGTTGTCATGGTTTAATTGCACATAACATGTAAACATTCACAGTGCAGGGAGGAAAACGTATGTGAACCTTTGGACTTAATAACTGGTTGACCCTCCTTTGGCAGCAATAACCTCAACCAGACACTTCCTGTAGTTGCAGATCAGACCTGCACAACGATCTGGAGTAATTTTGGACCACTCCTGTTCACAAAACTGTGTCAGTGTAGCAATATTCTTGGGATGTCTGGTGTGAATCGCCCTCTTAAGGTCATGCCACAGCATTTCAATCGGGTTGAGGTCAGGACTCTGACTGGGCACTCCAGAAGGCATATTCTGTGCTGTTGCAGCCATTGTTTTGTTGAATTACTTGTATGCTTTGTGTCATTGTCCTGTTGCATCACCCATCCTCTGCGGAGCTTCAGTTGGCGGACAGATGGTCGTACATTTTCCTGCAAAATGTCTTGATAAACTCTGGAATTCATTTTCCCATCAATGACAACAATCCGTCCAGGCCCTGAGGCAGCAAAGCAGCCCCGAACCTGATGCTCCCTCCACCATGTTTTACAGTGGGGATGAGGTTTTGATGTTGGTGTGCTGTGCCTTGTTTTTCTCCACACATAGTGTTGTGTGTCTTCCCAAACAACTCAATCTTGGTTTCATCTGTCCACAGTATATTTTGCCAGTAGTGCTGTGGAACATCCAGGTGCTCTTTTGCAAACTTCAAACGTGCTGCAACATTCTTTTTGGACAGCAATGGCTTCCTTTGTGGTGTCCTCCCATGTACTCCATTCTTGTTTAATGTTTTCCTTATTGTAGATGTGTCAACAAAAATGTTAGCACGTGCTAGAGATTTCTGTAGGTCTTTAGCTGACACTCTGGGATTCTTTACCTCATGCAGCATTCTGCGCTGTGCTCTTGCAGTCATTTTTACAGGACGACCACGCCTAGGGAGAGTAGCAACAGTGCTAAACTTTCTCCATTTGTAGACAGTCTGTCTTACCGTGAACACATGAACATCATGCAAAACTCCACGTAATCCCAAGGGGTTCACATACTTTTTCTTGCAACTGTATATGTATAAATGTGTGTATGTATATGTATATGTGTGTGTGTGTGTGTGTGTGTGTATATATATATATATATATATCTATCATGGACCTTGCTTTGTGCACTGATGGTGGAACAGGTAGGGGCCATCCCCAAACTGTTTCTGACAAAGTTGGGAGCGTGAAAATGTCCAAAATGTCTTGGAATACAGACGCCTTAAGTGTTCCCTTCACTGGAACTAAGGGGCCAAGACCAACCCCTCACCATAATCCCCCCTCCACCAAACTTTACACTTAGCACAATGCAGTCAGACAAGTACCATTCTCTTGTCAACCGCCAAACCCAGACTCGTACATCGGATTGCCATATGGAGAAGCGGGATTCGTCACTACAGAGAACACGTCTCCACTGCTGTAGAATCCAGTGGTGGTGTGCTTTACATCACTGCATCCAACGCTTTGCATTGCACTTAGTGATGTAAGGCTTGGATGTAGCTGCTCGGCCTTGGAAGCCCATTCCATGAAACTCTCTACGTATTATTGTTGTGCTAATCTGAAGGCCACACAGAGTTTGGAGGTCTTTAGCTATTGACTCTGCAGACAGTTGGCAACTTCTACGCCCTGTGTGCTTAAGCCTGTGTTGACACCGCTCTGTCATTTAACGTGGCCTACCACTTTGTGGCTGAGTTGCTGTTGTTGCCAATTATAAGTAGCTAAATTAGCACACTCTAATTTTAAATTATTGAAATAAACCCAAGGAAAAACATTCACTTTCACCCTTGAAAGCTGACAAAACTATAAATTATAAAGTCTTTTTCCTTTCCCAAATTATATTAATACATTAAAAGAATAATCATAAATAAAATAAAGAATAAATAAATAAAATAAAATAAAAATAAATATCCTCCTTATCCAAATGTCCACAGGTACAATTCCAAAAAAACTATAGTCCTTTTTTTCATCCAAGAAAATATCTCTTATTTTCAATCTTCAAGTAATGTCCAAATATTCATATATCTCAAAAACCAAAAAAACTCAACATAGTGTATTATCCTTATATCAAAAGAAAAATCGTGCCATACATAGTGAGTCACATCAAATGCTAAAATTGTGCATGTGAGAATTTTTTTTTAAATATATATATATATGCATAAACACATACACACATACAGTGGGGATCGAAAGTTTGGGCACCCCAGCTAAAGGTTTGTATTAATGTGCATAAAGAAGCCAAGGAAAGATGGAAAAATCTCCAAAAGGCATCAAATTACAGATTAGACATTCTTATAATATGTCAACAAAAGTTAGATTTTATTTCCATCATTTACACTTTCAAAATAACAGAAAACAAAAAAATGGCGTCTGCAAAAGTTTGGGCACCCTGCAGAATTTATAGCATGCACTGCCCCCTTTGCAAAGATGAGACCTGCCAGTGTCATGGATTGTTCTCAGTTATCGTCTGGGAAGACCAGGTTATGTCAATCTCAAAGGATTTAAATGCCCAGACTCATCTGACCTTGCCCCAACAATCAGCACCATGGGTTCTTCTAAGCAGTTGTCTAGAAAACTGAAACTGAAAATAGTTGACGCTCACAAAGCTGGAGAAGGCTATAAGAAGATAGCAAAGCGTTTTCAGATGTCAATATCCTCTGTTCGAAATGTAATTAAGAAATGGCAGTCATCAGGAACAGTGGAAGTTAAAGCAAGATCTGGAAGACCAAGAAAAATATCAGACAGAACAGCTCGCAGGATTGTGAGAAAAACAATTCAAAACCCATGTTTGACTGCACGATCCCTCCAGAAAGATCTGGCAGACACTGGAGTTGTGGTACACTATTCCACTATAAAGAGATACTTGTACAAATATGGTCTTCATGGAAGAGTCATCAGAAGAAAACCTCTTCTACGTCCTCACCACAGAAATCATCGTTTGAACTTTGCAAATAAACATATAGACAAGCCTGATGCATTTTGGAAACAAGTTCTGTGGACCGATGAGGTTAAAATTGAACTTTTTGGCCGGAATGAGCAAAGGTACGTTTGGAGAAGAAAGGGCACAGAATTTAATGAAAAGAACCTCTGTCCAACTGTTAAGCATGGGGTTGGATCAATCATGCTTTGGGGTTGTGTTGCAGCCGAAGTTAAGCTGAAGTTAAAGAGAGGATGGCTTCTACAGATGGATAATGATCCTAAACACACCTTGAAATCCACGGGGGATTACATCAAGAGGCGTAAACTGAAGGTTTTGCCATGGCCTTCACAATCTCCTGACCTCAACATAATTGAAAATCTATGGATAGACCTTAAAAGAGCAGGGCGTGACAGACAGCCCAGAAATCTCAAAGAACTGGAAGACTTTTGTAAGGAAGAATGGGCAAAGATACCTCAAAACAAGAATTGAAAGACTCTTGGCTGGCTACAAAAAGCGTTTACAAGCTGTGATACTTGCCAAAGGGGGCAGTACAAGATATTAACTCTGCAGGGTGCCCAAACTTTTGCAGACGCCATTTTTTTGTTTTCTGTTATTTTAAAAGTGTAAATGATGGAAATAAAATCTAACTTTTGTTGACATATTATAAGAATGTCTAATCTGTAATTTGATGCTTTTTGGAGATTTTTCCATCTTTCCTTGGCTTCTTTATGCACATTAATACAAATCTTTAGCTGGGGTGCCCAAACTTTCGATCCACACTGTATATATATAAAATATATAAACAACTCCAAGTGTGAAAAACACTATCTGTGAGCACTGCAACCAACAATAGTGATCCACTCAAGTGACCAGTGATATCATACTCTGTGACAACTTAGTGTTATTATTTAACCAACTGCACAAAACAAACAGCACTCCAACTCGTGTAGTAGTGGATAATTACCCCAATGTTTCAAACAAACTTTGTAAAACATATAAGAGATGGCATCAAACTCCCTTCAGAATAAGTCCAGGAAGTGATGAAACGCGTCAGACACAAGTGACGTCTGACGCACTGACGTTTTCCGGAAGTACAGCCGTGGCCATTTTGGAAGTGGGAACATGTGGAGGTTCCCTTGTATGATGTGATCTGTAGATGTGTCTCTGTGATGGGGAGCTGCTATCTGCAAATTTTAATGTAAGTTGCCAAATAAATATTTATACTCTATGGTACCTTCTCTAATTGCCAATTCATTTATGAGGAGAGTGGAGGAGGAATTCCAGGATTGATCTGGACCCGGGAGCCTGATGCCATCTCTTATATGTTTGACAAGTCTGTTTGAAACATCATTGGGGAGAGTGGAGGAGGAATACCAGGATTGATCTGGACCCGGGATTTTGATGCCATCTCTTATATGTTTTACAAAGTTTGTTTGAAACATTATTGAGGTAATTATCCACTACTACACGAGTTGGAGTGCTGTTTGTTTTGTGCAGTGGGTTAAATAATAGCACTAATTGTCACGGAGTATGATAGCACTGGTCACTTGAGTGGATCACTATTGTGTGTTTTTCACACTTGGAGTTGTTTATATATTTTATATATATTTGTGTATGTTGTTTATGCATATATACTTACATTTTTTTTTCTCTCACATGCACAATTTTAGCGTTTGATGTGACTCACTATGTATGGCACAATTTTT